ATATATATGAGCGAGCTTAGTGCCAAGGCAACAAAAAAAATAACAGAACATGTACAACGGTCTGGTTAGCTGCCCGGTGGCCGAGTGGATAGCATGCTTGCGTTCGGCGTCTGGGTTCCTGGGTTCGATCCCCAGTTGGGTCAATAAATTTACACTGCTGATGAAACCCAGCCAGGTCGAAACAGCTCTACAGTGCCTTCGGTTTGCGCTTTATTTACTCTATATACGACGAATTCCCCCGATGACATTGAATCAAATCCTTCATCACTCTCATTTTATACCTGTATTTCTGAAGAGACAAGTGTAGATAATACACTAGCCTAAATTGAACCTTTTCCACAAGCGCATTTCTACATTTTATTGTCCTAACGCAAACTTGATTTCAGTAAAACTCAACTGCATAGATAAACAAATGTTTTTACTTCCGTTTTGTGCAGTGAATGTAGAACTGTACAATAAACTTCCAGGAAGAGGAACGCGGCCATACAAAAACTGTCTGGAAAAATACAGACCCACAGAAATCATTTCGTTGATACGATAGGTTGCACTTGAATTAGCGCAGCGAACAAACGAACTCTGTGCATGCACAATTGGCAGTTTCAGTTTGTTCAAACTTTAACCATGCACTCTTGTGCGACGGGTTTGGTTGCTGTCTGTTGACTGCCCATTTAGATGAATGAGTAAAAGAATGACTGGAAAGGTGGAAGTTGAGTCGAAGAAAAAATGGCGACCTGCACTGCACTAAGGTTTCAATGAAATCGAAATGCTGCACGAGCGCCACTGTTTACGACACTGAACCATATTAGTCACAATTGAATACATTGGTCCCAAGATCCCATCCAGTGATCCTAACAGGACCTGTATGATCGAGTCTCCGGGTCAGCGTTTTCAAACCGATGTTAGAGTTTAACCATTTTTTCACCCACTACCTGCCTCGGCATACATTGCGCGCCATGGAAGCTTAGCCTCCCAAGGCCTCAGTATGGTTGGGGGTGGGTGTCTAGGATTGCGGCTGGTCACCCTGCCCTTGCACCTCACGAAATGCCCCCATACAACCAAGCGTCTCAAATAGCCTCTGCTGAGGAAGCCCTACTCACTGCCTTCTCGCGGCGGATGTGTTTTCCCACCAAAGCCGATATCCGGGGCTATAGCCGGGTTGGTGGACCACTGGCAGTTCACCTAGAGGAGTTGGCCAAAAGCCCTGATTCCAAACCAACCATGAGGAGACGTACGAACCACACCCACACCTTTTCGGTTGTGGCAGTGGTCACCGGCTCGATTGGGCATTGAGGTGGATTGGGCACCTTGGACGTCTGACCCCGTCCGAAGGGCGTATGATCCGATGAACTGGACACCGGCTCCCAATGGACTGCGGTTTTCGCACACCGCCCCGCTGCCTTGCGGGTTAGGCTTTGGCTAGCCGAAGGCTCCGGTTGTGGATTCCTCAAGAAAATTCACCTGCCTTGGCCTGGGCAACCTGGCAGTACTCAGCCCACAAGCCAATCATGGAATATTTTTCTTTTTATAAAGATTATTGTACCATGATTTGTTTGGCACACAGTCTGTCCTCAGACAAGTGTGAAATATATATATATATATATACCCGAAAATGTAGAATTCTATGTGACTTGTATTTCTCAAGCAATTCTCTTCGCGTGTGAGTGATACTTGACAACTGCAGTGGATATTCCAGCACAGAGTGAAAATTGCGCTCATACCATGCAAATACCTGTACATTTGGGTGAATGTTAGATTTACCTTTGTTTGTTTGTTTCTTCACGAATACTTTGTCATATTATTCGAAGTAATGACCCGCATACTGCACCTTGAGTATTCTTGGGAACTGGATCTCATTTTTCACTTTCCTATGTCTTCGTCTATATTCCTCGTAAATAACATGCGAAGCTGAAGTATGCACTTGAGGCGGATGCAAAAATCAAACCTACTTCGATGTCATTTCCACAGATATTGGTTAGTTTTCAATATAAATTTAATCTTGTGTTCCTCAATCAGTTACAACTGTATCAAATTTTACGCTCGTCTGGTATCTCTTAATTTTGTCGTTTGTGTTGCGAAAGAAAACAACAACGTGCGTGTTTCTTATTCTATGCCCAATAATTTTTAGCTCTTTTGGGTACTGTACAGACGTTATAGCGGCAGCTTATCAAGAACATAGACTACTGGTAATCTACGACTGATCTCTATGGCTTTCCAAACGTTGACGTGGTCACAGTCACAGAGAACATGAATGATTGTCATTTTGTGTATAGTGTTTCTTCTACTACATCTGTTCATTTTCGCCCCTCATGCTCTCTTTCTTTCCGGCCCTTCCCTAATCAGATCCAATTTGATGAGAAAATGCTGCGACGGGAAATAGGTATTGCCATTCAAAACATTCATGCGGTTCGGTAAGTTGTCTGTGTGCGCCTCGTGTATGTTTATGCGTCAGACACATTACTCCTTTCTCGGAACTTCCCACATCTCACTTGTGTGATGCATTTTTGACTTTTATGTGCACAGGATTGAGAGCATTTATTGCAGTGGCGGTGGCCAGTCTTTATATGTCATCGTCACACTATACTGGAAGTGATGTGTTCTAATCCAACCACCGAGACAACTTTTCCGCTTCTCTGTATCCTGCGGTAACCCTATGATTGGCCGAGCCCGGTTTCTTGAACGATAGAGAAATAAAACAGAACCGATTCGCAACAATCTTCGAATAGGGTCCAAGTTCACTACCGAAGGACTGTATTATCACGCAGATTCTCGTTCCAACGAATATATCGTTCTAGGGATGAAGATACCATTTCACTTGCGGTCATGGGAGGGGGCCCCGATGACAAAGGCGATTCTCGAACCATGTAGTTTGCACGCCATCGCCTAGTGGACAACAGATAGTACGAATCCTGGGCCAGGTGGATGCGATGTACAATGAGTACAAGAAAAAGAACCAATCTCAGCATTTGGGATAGTAAATCATTACGTAAGACGTCACTTGAAAACGGACAGTTATTAGGCTGCGCGATATCAAACCTCTGTACCACTAAGTGTTGGAGGTATGAAGTGCAAGAATAATCTATTTTTTTCCTAGCGTGCGCAAGATAAAACTGACGAATCTTTGCATATTCAATTCCTGGTTCTGATCAAAATACGTCTCTGGTCCGTATCCAAGTGGCTGACACAGTACTCTCTTTAATCTTATGTTTAACGTGTTGCTCTCTTTTTCATCCTCTCTTGTGAGAGAATGTTGATTCTTGTCCAGTGATTCAGTTTTCCTGTATCATGACTGATTCCGCGCCTGGCAGATGGAGAATATATGGGTACGGTGTGTAATTCACATCCCATGCATTAAGTATTAATCTGTCTGATTCTGTCCTCTGTAAGACAACGATTCCATTCGACCGGTAATTTCACCATTCAGCAAACATTTTTGTAACGGAAACATTCCATTCGGGCTGGTGTCGGTAACATTTTTTACAATTGGAGATCCCCCCCTCCTCGGCAATCATCGTATCTCACCATAAACTTTCTCCTCTCGTGAAAACGTGTCGCTTATGTTGCCTCGGTGGATGTGCCTTGGCCGTCTGACCACGAGTTGTTCTTTTCTTCGACTAAACCAAAAGGAAAGTTTCATGGTTTGTCAAATCGATATCAGCCGGTCTTTGAGCGTGTGGAGCGGGTGATCATGTCACACGGACCACCTCTGGTCGTGTGCCTACATAATGTTCACGTGTTTTCTGTCACCTGATAAATCGCCTCGATGCGCGCCCGTTTACGCGTGTGTGTGTGTGTGTGTGTGTGTGTGTGTGTGTGTGTGTGTGTGTGTGNATATGTGCATTTCATTTCAGTTGCGGACCATATTTTGTACGCATGATGTTACTCTTAACTTAGCTTGGTTTATATGAAAGCTGTTCAAGTATATTTAGTCCTTTGCTATATTTATGCGCACTCGAACGACTTTTCTCGACCGAAAATAGTGCACCTGTTCTTGATGTCGAGAAATCTATTACTTTCAGCGCGTTTACTGAGACACGTGGGAGCGACACTACTCCGTGATGCATTAGTGTGTTTTGTTGGCCACTGGTGTGTTTTGAATATCAGTCTGAATGAACCAGACAGTTAGTGGTCATATTGAAGAAAGTGTAATCGGATGTTTATGGTTAAGAATTAGTTATAGTGTTTCTCCTACTTAGATACGCATATAACTAATAACGATAGCGCAGTAAACGAGATAACCGCCCACATTTCCAAGGCTCGAGCCGCACACGTAGGAATGAAACGCCTTTGGTGTAGACGCGAAATTTAAAGGTCGTGTATTTTGTGCTACCGTTTGTTCGGTTCTGCTATTTGGTCATGCGACCTTAAATCTGCGAGTAAATACTCATCGACTAGGCGTTTTGGACTATCAGTGTTTAAGTGGTGATGTGAGAGACGATCGCAACAGCTGTTGAACAGGGAGAAGACAGACCCGATATCTAGGCTTAATGCAACATACAAATGGACGGCAGGGGCTGAAAAGGAATGAGGGGAAAATTTAGAGAGGCGAATACAAAGTAGTGTGAAACGACAAACAAAAGTGTAACATAACAAGTAGTTTGTTTCACTTTAGATGGAGTGAACAGGTTAATAATCTGGAGGTAAACCGTCGTGTTTGAGGACAGGCATTACACGTGTGCCCAGCTGCTATCGCCGTAGCCCCTTTGGGTTGGAGGAATCCATGTGGAGGACAACGGATGACGTGAAAACGAGGCATGCAAAAATACACAGAGCGATTAAGTAGAGGTAAGTGTCCGCCGTCTTCCATGTTGAGGTCCAAAAGATTGCAACCGGTTGCTTGGAGACACTAAAGGATATGGTGACTAATCGACAACGTTGGCATTCTTGGCACTTATCGGGTCGAAAAGGTGTTCATGCACAGTCAGGGTTGTATACTCTGTGTGTTGACCAAATTAGTTCACTGCTTTGCCTCCCTCCACTTAGGCCCATTCTCTATCCATCATCATTTTCTTTGTGTACATTGTGAACTTGGCAGCGATCAGTGAAGTTCGCTTTACAGTATTTCACTATATGATGATGATGTCGACAAACTAGCGTGACCTTGTGTGGTTCACCACTCCGAGTCTCGGGGGTGAGGTTTACGGTTTCCATGATTAATCAGCCAATCCCTGTGACTATCGAGTTGAACCCGTCTGCTTTCTGTCACAAAGCTGTCTAATCAATCAAAGTTGAAATGCTACTGATTTTTGAAGAGGGAAATTACTAGTCCTCCTTTTCTTCAAAGGAGAATTTACTCTGACGATATGTCTGTAAAATTCATTTGATTCAATCAGCGAGAGAATGTCATTTATTCACTGAATATCACTTATTTGGATTGAAACAGTTCAGTCAAATCTCCATGAGCACGTGATTTGAATCTGAAACAGCCCACGGTTTCATTTGGTTCTGCGATTTGTAGTTGTAAGGTAGACCTCTGCAACTGTCTGACTCATAGGTCCTTGCGATATAACTGTCTTTAGGAAGGTGTCCACTTTCCTTGAGTCTCTCCTATACCTCTCCGAAGTTTGTTTTGGTGTTTTTAGCCTATCCGGGTGGTGGTGGCGTAGTGGTTTAGTCGCTGTCACAGACTTGTTTTAGACCCTATGGTCCGAGGTTCGAGCCCCGCCACCCGACTTTGGTGGTAGGTAGCTCTGCTGTCGTCCGGTTCACTACCATGCCTAATCTATCGGGGTCTTATGTGGTTTGCCACTCCAATTCCCGGAGCTTAGGTTGCCGGTTTCCACCACTGAACAGCAGGTCCTCGTGACTATGGAGTTTATCCCGTCTGTTGTTAATCACACTTAGGTTTGTAATTAAAAAAGCCATTGTATATTTGGAGCAGCGGGTGTTTTAGTGGACGAGGATATCGATCGAACGGCCAAGAACTGCGAAACGTGCTTCTATAAAATCTAGCTAGGACCCGGGGATGGGGCATGGTAACAATACCATTTCTTGGCCAGTATCATGCGCCTGTATTCATTGGTCTCCATTTGAAAGCACCGTAGGTGCTCGTGATGATTATGCACGTCGAGGGTTCATCCTATAAGTGTTGGTTAGGGATAATGGCTCGCAGTTTTGTGCGTGGAGATGAAGGCGTGGTTAGTTAGTATTGGTTACCACCATTGCGAACGGTGCCATGTCATCCCTGCCTAAACAGCTGGACTAAGAACTTGTGAAGGACGATGGAAAGTGCTGTTGCATCCGTTAATCGAAAAGCGATTTCATAGTAGGAGATACTGTTACGCAATTTCCTGAGTCCGTCAAGAAGCTCATCTCACGCCACCACCAAAGAGAGCCCCACAAAACTGTTCAAATCGTGGAGCCTATAGTCCTCGTTGTAATGTGTGCACTCAAATGATATAATTTACCTCCGGGGAAGTGACCTCCGATCAACACGTGGACCTGTCAGAAGGTATATTATAAGGGCCATGGTGCAGATCATCGACCTGACGAATATAATGCTTCATCGTACTCACGCTAACCAAATCGATTCCAGAGAGTCTATGAACCCCAGGGATGAGTAGTTCTGTTGCGGTTGCGCTTACTGATCCGCAAATATTCCGCGTACCAGGCTATGCTCTTTGTAAAAGTAAACTTACCTGCTGTGTTGTGAGCTGTCTGTATTTGCTCCTCCATAGTTAAAGAATTCACATGAAACTCAATACATGCAGTGAAATTTGATGGCGTGAATACCTCTTCGTTTTCATGCTAGAGTCTTTAACCATTTTCTTCACGATAATCGATGTTGAGGCAATGAACCAACGTTCAGCTCACCATTTCGTCATTGCGATGTAGACAATTTGGTTAATCTACTGTGTCTGTCACAATCATTCACTTTCTACTCCCTCGCCTCAGTTTTTTTCCTGTCAACTTCCGCATTCCTTCTGTTATATGCACATTGCACTTTGAAGTGTTGCTAATTGTTCCATTGTGCTATGGTTGCACGTTTCTCGCATGGGCCCGCCTACGGTCGTCAGAATAGATTGGCTTAATCATTGCATTACACTCAGGTAAATGTCGTCACGTGTATCATGTGTTCATCATGAATGCACAGAACTTTTCACACTCAATGTGTCTGGATTTCTGACCACGATATTCTCTCACCGCGATAGTTTGACGCCAAACGCATACGGTGTCAGGTTATTTAACTGACGCACTGGTGTGCATCCTTATTTTGTTAATAACAGGGGTTACACAAATGCGTTTGACTTCTATCCTAAGTAAGACCTTCATCTGATTTGGAATTCCACAAACCACACTAGGTTAAGTATGGCTGTTCCTTTTCTCTTGTATGGTTACCTTGTCCACTTTGCATACCCGTTTCCTTTCCTTCATCAGACCCGGTTTATTCACCCCGGACAAGGCGTTTGATGCCACCGTACGCAAATTGATCGACAAATTGCGTGTGCCGTCCATGAAATGTGTCGACCTTGTTGTCAGTAAACTATGCGAGGTTGTACAACTTTGCGCAGACAAAGTAAGTTTATCATTGAATCCATTGATCCGAATTCAGTTAATTTGTGGTCTGTGTATTGATTTTACACTCGCTATTTGATGCGTTGGTTTTTAAAATGATTCCACGCTGCTCACTGCAAGACTGTTAATCAGGTGGTACAAAACACTAGGTCGCATGGCTCGTAATAATAATGAATCATCAAGTGGGCCCCTTTCATCGCCCCACGNCCAACTGTTAAGCTGATGGTTTGTTGACATTCAATTACTTACTTAGTTGGATATCACACCAAAGGTGTATTTCCACTTGTTGGCTCCCCAAATGGTTAATTAACTTTTATGGAAAGGAGTGTGAGGACCAGTTTGTGGAATTTTCGGGACAACTGAATTCAACATAACCATCCGCACGAACACGTCAGCTTGCGCGTTACTTGACACACAGCGGTCAATGACTGATGTAATCTGCTGATACACACTCGCGCGACCCACATTATGTCATGCTCTCAGGTCTCTTGATCTGTGTTCACATGCCCTTTTTACAAGTCTAGCTCCGTATAGAGGGATCATCTGTACGCGATAGCTCGCGCTATTTTTTCGGAAATAAACTGCTTTGTTTGATCTGAATAGGATGATGAATTGGACTTTCGCTTGATGAATTCCCGAATTGGTATGCTCATTTGATTGGCTTTTCTTTCTGGCTAAGAAAACAACACTTACCAAACGGCCCAAGATAAATCGTGTTTTCTGTACGAAAACATTTTTCTTGAATAACGGCAAAAACTGCGGATAGTTTCTAAAACGCAAATAAATTTGATATCACATGAACCGTTTCACAACAAATTTGTTCCAGTTAAGAAGCGGACTAGGAGAGGGGGAAGCTATCAATTCCACCCAGCGTTAAATGGAGGTGGAACCTTTTATCAACAGTGCCCTGCATTACTTTTCTCAAAGGCTTATGTCCAACATTCCCCACTCAATGATGATCACTGTTTTCAGTCGTGTGAAAAACTCGTTTTCCTCCAAATACGAATCTCCTTAGGTTGTCCCCAGGATTCATAATGGAATTTATATTAGTCTTTTACTCTACTCCATAAGGCGTTCACATGTTTCATGAGTTTTTAAGGTCGTAGGTGTGAATCGCCGTGCTGTTCTGTTGTATTATTACGGTGCGTCCACCAATAATAGAGATGATATGATCATTGAAAATACTTGATTGGGTTGTTTGGGTACCTAGTCGCAACACCAACGGCGATATTCTGCCGGCGACCGTACCAATACAGATCAACCTGAATTACGAGCAGTGGAAAAACAGATTTCTTAATATCGTATCCAAAAGGATTTCAGCCCATCACCGTAGTTCGTTCATCACAAAACCGGACTCAATTCCATTAGGCGCACTGCATTCTTAGTTGCACATGATTCTATGCTAGCCATGGTACTTTTCATCATGCAGTGCACATTCGGAGCATTCAAAATGGTTGCTTTAAACTGCACCTTGGTACGGCCTTCGTTTCAATATCGTTCCACTCGTTATCTTGTTCGAGGTAGTCCATATCAGCCTTCATTTTGTATTAGATATCTCCCCCTCCTCCTCACTCACGGTTGGTTCAAGCTATATTCAGCGAGATCAGCGTCGTTTCATCACGGGTCATTCTGATAACAACTTCTCTTCTGCTCATCTCTGTGTTCTTGTATTCGTAACACGTGTTCACTTTGGTGTTATAATACAAATGAACTTCGGATGATGGTGGTCAAGTGATCAAGGTCACTAACTGAACACCCGGGAGAACCTGTTTTCGAACACCACCACCGACACTGCTTAACTTTCCCCTTAGTATCAAATGTAGGTCCTTTACTGTTGAAAGTTGTTCGTGCAGTTGTGCATTCTCAAAATGGAAGCAAATAGAATGAAAAAAGAAAAGAATGATCCAATTCGCTAGGCACGCAGCCCATGGACGCGGAAAGCATTGCTTACTGTTTACTAGAAGTTGCTCCTAGTCTGAATCCAATCAGACTGCCGAAAATGACGTAGCCCCCATGTGCCTTCATTACCATTTCGCATTGCCAATGTATTTTTCTTTCGATTCACTGTCCTCGGTATGCGGGAGATCAGAACTATCATCAAACCGGTTCTATTCAGCAGATAACCAATGGGTCGAGGAATAAGCGGACCGGTGTCTAGCGCCGTCTTTTCAAATGAGTTGAAGCGGTTGTAGAGATATGAATGGCCGTAACAGACTTTCGCGCGTCAAACTCTTGGGATGAATCCTGTGTATGTTAATTTGTTACTGAGGTAATAATGCTCAAGATGGGAATAGTTTACTGGTTGGATGTCTTCGGTTCATGAAGGCAAACTATACAAGTCATGTTGAATGCTAGAATAGCAAGAAAATTTATACTCCTAGAACAGAGAACGGTTTAGTCCCGAGCTTAGTTTTCATGTGCACCTTGTCTATAAAGCTCAGTGTGTCTAATCAATTTTCATTATTCCCATGCACCATCAGGATTTGACCCTAAAAAATGGTGCATCAAAAGAACAACAACAATAGTGTAGTTGCCATCGGTGAGCTAACCCACATATTCGAATTTGGGACGCGAGCGGAGTGTCATGCACTATAATTGAATGAAACGTTCGTTAGCAATCGTGCGCTGTCGCTCTTTTTTAAATCTGTGTAATTTACGCCACCAGTCTTGTGCATTTTGTACTCCGTTGTTTCATCCGTCTTTCCTTATCACAAATTTATCCACTGAGTTACCAAACCACACCGGCTAAAACTCGAGCACAGAATATCATGGTTAAGGCTTGCAGAAATTGAGTTATAGCTATCGTCATTTTGGTGTTGAGAAAGCACAATTGCGCATTGATCCACCACAAATACTTTCACCTTATCTTGGAATGTGAGAGATCGTTCCAAACGGAACTCACATTTCACGTCACACTCCATCATTGAGAGAGTAGCAATGGTGAATAACTGTTTTTATCATGTCCGACTGTCCTCAACACTTTTTCGGTTTCTATGCTAACATAGCATTGGACCACGTGTATATACCCGATGACCTCACCTGGCAACGTGGTTCGGCTCAGGACTCTCCCCCATCCTGTCTTTCTCGGAATGTATGCTCGCAATTACGNGGTGGGGGGGGGGGAGATCGATCGCATGACTCACATCAAATGCAAATTACACCCACATTCGGTCGTATTACGTGTTCTCTCGTGTTAGCGAATTATCGCACCGTTGACCTCAGTTCGTTCGTCGTCCAAACGTATGGCAGTGTGTAGTCAGCGCCTATGTGCGGGCCTTGCGTTTCTCGCTCTGTCATTATGACAGTGGTCGCGTGTGTTGCGTTTGTAATGAGGGTGGTGGTACTGGTGTCGGCAATAGTGCGAAACGCTTTCGGTGATGCATGCTAATGAGTTTATCGTGCAATAGGTCGTGTGTGCGTGTGTGTTTAGTGTCGCTGATTTTTTCACTTCTAGCTAAGGATATTTGCGTTCGTGTGTGTTCAGAGTACAAAAAATCGTCGTGCTCGTCACGTTTTGGATCCAGTGCGAAGTCCTCTTTTCTATTTTTATAAAACTTTAGTTAACATTATCGGGTGGCAGTTCCTTTTATTACTCACTTCAGTGTGATGGATGATCAAAGGGATGAATCTTATGGTTACGAAGATCGGTTGCTCTATTATTGGAGCTCAGGCCCTGGGATTTAAAGGGGTCTACAACATAGGGCTTTAATCGGATAGGCTTGTCACTAAGCCGAATGATGATGTCACTCCAAGTCCCGGAGCTAAGGTTGCCGGTTATCATTGATAAACAGCAGGTCTTGGTGACTATGGGGTTCCATCACACACCGGTGTGTAGTAAACAATGAATCTGTCCGTGGCTGGGAATTCATTTTGCACTATTACACATGCCACTATCTGGGCTTCCTTGGCGTGTGATATTTGCTGATGCAAACGGTAGTTGGTAAAAGGCTTGGCGTTGGGCTCAAATTATGATCTGGCATAAGGGGACCCGTTCATATAAGTCACATTAGGCTCGTTGGGGATCTCGTAGTGAACTAGCACAAAATGAAAGGGGAAGAAAAGGCAACATCCGGGGCTATAACCGCATCGGTGAAACCCTGGGATTTGCCTAAAAACCTTGATTCCACACCAACGAAGAAGAGGCGTGCAAATCACACTCACCCAAACCGGGGTTGTGGTAGCGGTCATTCGTTCGATTGGGCATCAAGGTGTATTGGACACCGGACTTTTGACCCCGTCCAGAAAGTGCACTGGACCCCGGTCCCCAGTGGATTGTGGTTTTCGCGCACGGCCCGGCCGCCTTGCTGGTCAGATTTCGGCTAGTCAAAGGCTCCGGTTGTGAATTCTCCTAGAAAATTCACCTGCCTTGGTCTGGGCAACCTGGCAGAATTCCGTCCACGAACAAATCATGGAAATTTTTGGCACAGTCTGGATTCAAACGCGTGCGAAATACATACATACATAAGTACGAACACGTTTGAACATAAAAGTAGGTAGACCATATGTGTGTTCTCCACTTTTGTTCTTCGTAGTGCTAAGAAAATCCAATACATCCTAATTGGGACGTTGGTTGTTGGTAGGCAAGAAATAGGCAGGGTACAAAAGCAGCGAGTCGCCAGAAGTGGGAATATGAATACCGCATTGTCTGTTGACCGTTTCTCCGGTCCACACAACACTGTGATCCCCTCACTACAAACGCCTCTTAACAACTCGAGAATGTCCTGCAAATGATGCATTCAGTTTTTTATCTCTTTGATTTTCAAGGGAAGCTGTTTGATAGAGACTGATGACTGCAGCATGTACTTTTTTATTACACACAGCAGACGGGATAAACCCCGTAGTCACGACGATCTGCTTCGTCATGGAAACCGGTAACCTAAGCCCCGGGACTTAGAGTGGCAAACCATATAAGGCCCCGATAGGTTGGGCGTGATATTGAACCGGACGACAGCTGATTCCTTTCGTTTTTGTAGAGTTTTGGGCACTGGAGAGCATTCTCTTCCAGGGTTAGGGACCGTCGTTGCCTGAAAACAGTAGCCATTTAAAATCGCATTCCCTGTGTCATTAAACTGCTCAACAGACTAGAGGGTTTGTTGGAATGAAAACCACAGCGAGATAAAAACAAGGGGTTTCTTTAGGAGAATGGCTCTCTCAGTTTCAAGATTTTAAATAATCGTGTTCATTGTTTGGTCCGAATGAAAGCGGATTATGGCAACCGAGAGTAAGCTTTTGACCTAAGACAGAAAGCACCGTGCCGTCAGTTCGAGAGAGAAAATAATAATGTGTTAGCAATAACTTTATCAATCAAATACAGCACTTCGTTTGGTTCGAGTTAGAGGTCTGTCAGGTTAAACGAAAGTAAAAAAAAGGTGGGTGTTCGTCCAGGATTGAATTTATTGGCAATTAAAAGTAAATTATCACTACCAAAATAGTATAATAAAAAGCACGAATGCATTATCAAACAAATTGCTAATCACTTGTGATTAAAAGGATGCTACACTGGTAATTATTGTGCTTCGAAAAGGGAAAAACCTGGGTAAACCTAACACAGCAAGACGGAATAGTAATGGGGAATACCGCACCAGGTAGAGTTAATGTAGTTTATTGCCCCCACATTAGTCTTACGTCCACTTTTTTCTCTGTCTTGCTGACAGCTT